AGGACGAGGCCAGCACCTCCGCCTCTCTGAAGCCCGGCGCTCTCTTCTTCAGCCGGGCCAGCAAACCGCTGGCCTCCCCACCAAAAGGTAGCTGGGAAAGTATCCCTGCCTTCGGGGAAAGGTGTCTGTTCAAACAAGGACACCACCCGTCTTTGGATCTGAGCACTCAAGTGGGATCTAGTGTGCTAGCAAATGCAGAGCTGGGAGTCGAGGCTCCCTCTAAGCTGCGGAGTCTTGTGAGCAAAAATCCTACCTTGTGAGCTACTGGCATTCAAGTTGCGAGCGAGCAATTTGGCTGCTGCGTAAATTAGTTGGCTCTGGAGCCCTCCTTCCTGAGCGAAGACAAAAAGGTGTGAGCCAGAGGCTAAAGAACTGTGAGCTAGCTCATGCTAACTCAGCTTAGAGGGAACACTGCTGGGAGTTGGGACGCCCGACCTATGTTATGCTGGGGATTATTAGGAAAGCAAGGGATGCTCTGTCTTCTTGGTGCTTGGGGGGGGGGCAACAGGGGGAGGGCTTCTAATGTCCTGGCCCCACCGGTGGACCTCCTGATGGCACCTGGTATTTCTGGCCACTGTGTGATACAGAGTGTTGGACTGGATGGGCCTTTGGCCTGATCCAACATTGGCGTCTCTTATGTTCTTATGTTCTCTGCCCTTGCCTTGGGGTCTGAGTCAGAAGCCTTCAGGAGTCTGCCGGGTAGCGCTCTTGCCACTCGACGGACAATGCTGCCGTTTTGCATGCCAGATGGGGACTGTCTTATTTCTTCTGCTCGCCCTTGCAGCATCCCAGAACAACCAGCCCTCGCCCAGCTACGCCGCAGCCTCCCTGCAAACCGGCATGTCCAGTAGCCCCGACCTGGCACCGTCAGCGGCGGAGAAGCCCACCCCCAAAGCCCCTCCCAAGGTAAAAGCCGGACGCTGCCTGAGTGAGCCATATGCCAAGTCTTCACCATGTGTGTGCAGTGAGTGGGGTCAACGCTTTCCTCTTTTCTTTTTCTGGACCTGTGACTGTGCCTTCAAGAAAAACCCCGGAGAGGAACACGGCGTGTAGAACTGGGTGCAGAAAGCACCGAGGAGCACCATACTAGATAATTATACTGGGCCAGGGCACATCACCAATTTGTACAATCTTTGGGACTGTGGTACCATTAGGAAAGATGATTATAACGAAAGTGCATTCCTGTGTGCTAAATGCATCTTCAGAAAGAATCCATCCCAAGTAAGGCAGACATCCAGTTATATTTCCTTCTCTGGAGGTTTTCAAGAAGAGAAGAAGAGATTGGATTTATACCCCATGGCCCTTCACTACCCAAAGGTGTCTCAGAGCGGCTTACAGACTCCTTCCCCTTCCCATAACAGACACACCCTGTGGGGTTGGTGGGGCTGAGAGAGCTCTTGACACAAACGGCTCTTTTTCAAGGACAGCTGTGCCAGAGCTTGTGACTGACCAAGGGTCACATCAGCAGGTGCAAGTGGAGGAGTGGGGGAATCAAACCCGGTTCTCCCAGATTAGAGTCCGCACACTTAACCACGACACCAAACTGGCTAGATCGCCATCTGACAGGGATGCTGATTCTGTGAAGTCAGGCAGATCACGAGAGGGAAGGCTTGCCTCAGTGCTCAGTTCCTGTGGCCCTTTCTGACACGCACAGGGAAATGCTGATCGCCATTTTAGGGCCAGGAAGCAAATTTTCTGCAGGGCAGTTTGGCCGGGGATCCTGGAGGGTTTTTGTCATCTCCTGGGCGTGGAACAGCTGTCACTGGGGGTGTGGGGGGGGGTATTTGTGAATCTCCTGCATTGTGCAGGGGGTTGGACTAGATGTCCCTGGAGTTCCGGTCCACCTCTATGATTCTATGATCGTCCTACTTTTGAAGTGTATCTTCATCAGTAGAATGCATGATGGGAAACCCATCAAATGGATTTTCAAGAGGTGACTTTCCATTCTCAGGCAAGTTCCGGCTCTCGTGTGACCCAAGTTGGAACACAGAAGAGTTCTCTTTAATAGTGTGGTGCAGTGGCTAAAGTGTTCGACAAGGATCTGGGCGACCCAGGTTCGAATCCCCACTCTGCCACGGAAGTTCGCTGGGTGACCTGGGGCCAGTCACACGTTCTCAGCCCAGCCTACCTCACGGGGTTGTTGTGAGGATAAAACGGAAATTGACGCAAGCCACTTTGGGTCTTTCCTGGGGAGAAAGGCGATAGAGAAATAAAAGTAAATGAATAAATGTCTTCATTTCCCTTAATGTTACCAAGAAGAGTCATTATCGGCTGTTTTTCATAATCGTCACTTCCATGGAAGGAGCTGCGGTGGCTCAAGTGGTTAAGATGCTGAACTGCAGGCTGTGGAGGGTCAGTAGTTCAGCAGTTTGAGACCCGAGTGTGCCGCATGACAGAGTGAGCTCCCGTCTCTAGTTCCATCTCCTGCCAACCTAGCAGTTCGAAAGCAAGACATTGCAAGTAGATAAATAAGGACCACTTCGGTGGGAAGGTAACAGCGTTCCGTGCGCCTTGGTGTTTAGTCATGCCGGCCACATGACCACGGAAACGTCTTCGGACAGCGCTGGCTCTTCGGCTTTGAAACGGAGATGAGCACCGCAACCCTAGAGTCGGACTCGACTGGCTTTCGAGCAAGGGAACCTTTACCTTTACCTTACTTCCATGGAGATCGCAGTCCCAGGAATTTTCCTTTCAGCGACATGTGTCCGGTATAAGTATACAGCGTGGTGCTTCTTGGTACTTTATTCATCGGTGCCTTTAAGAGCAGCCCGATGCACAGAAGTTTGGCACGTGATGCTTTCCTTACCACCAAGGGTGATGTTTGGCCTGCTGGATCTCTCCGTGTTAGACTGGTGGTGTAAAAAATGGGGGGGGGACAGCCTGCCCACTGGGATACATGGCATGTTTTTTTGGCATTTTTGCATTTTGTGTGTGCGTGCGTGTGTGTGTGCCCGTGCCTGGAAGTCATGGCGACCTCTGGCGACTCCTACGGGGGCATGGAGGACTTTCAGAGAGGTGGCTTGATAGCCTGCCTCTGCCTCCCAGCCCTGGTATTCCTTGGAGGTCTCCCATCCAAAGACTCGCCAGGGTCGGCCCTGCTTAGCTTCCGAGATCCGACAAGATCGGGCTTACCTGGGCTATCCAGGTCAGAGCGGATACGTGGCATTTTTCTGGGGGGGGGGACACCTTGTTGGTGTACCCCATCCCAAACCGGTCTTTGTGCCCTTTCCAAACTAGTAAATCACAGCTGCTGGCTTGCTGAGGCGACCGGGTAGCTGCCAGCAACAGCAGATTGGGGGGTGGGCGCTTGCCAGCTCGGTCTGAGTTCCCTTCTCCTTGCAGGAGCCCACCCCAGTCAAGAGGAAGTTCGAGTTCAGCAAGGAAAACACCAGTCTCCCCTCCGCGCCCAAGAAGGCTGACCCTGATACTCCTCGGCCTCCACACCCGCCCCCCAAGAAACACAAAGGTGCGTGCGTGTGGATTGGGAGATGACTTTGAAATCAGGGCTTTCAGGACATCTCCCTTGACGTTGCGAGCAATTTGAAAAGGATGCTTGGGTGGGGGGGCAGTAAGTAATTTGCTTTGCAATGTAGCAATCGCAGCCCAATCGGAAGCGTGCTGAATTGGCCGCAAGCCCCTCCCAAATCCAGTGGGGTTGGCTCTCTAGTAAGCGCACTCGGGGTTGTGGCTTTGCCGTCTCGCTTGACCCGGGTTTTGCCTTCTGGACGGCAGCAGGGACTGAAACGGTCCTAAGAGGTGTGTCCGTTGCTTCAGAGCGTTTGAAGCAGGTGATCGGCTTTTGGTTGTTCCTCTCGAGTCACCTTTTTATTTTAAAAAAAGAAAATGAAACTGCTGTGTGTTTTTTTTTAATTAAAACACACGCCAATTTTATATTATTAACCGTTGCGTTCAGAGGAGGGGAGACGTCAGCGTATGAATAATCGAAGCAGCCTTCTACAGAATCAGAACATCCATCAGTCACAATCAGTCTTGCGTACTCAGACTGGCAGTGGCTCTCCAGGGTTTCACTTGGAGGTCTTTCCCATCACCTACAACCTGATGCTTTGAACCAGAGATGCCGGGGATTGAACCTGGGACCTACTGCATGCAAGCGAGACGCTCTGCCACTGAGCCATGGCCTCTCCTCTCAAGGTGTAGTGGTTAAGAGCAGCAAACCCTAATCTGGAGAACTGGGTTCGATTCCCCACTTCCCCACTTGAAGTTAGCTGGGTGACCTTAGGCAAGTCACAGCCCTCTCTGCCTAAAAATAAGGCTAGCTCACCACCTAGTGCAGCCAAACAGCCCCCCCTGGGGTCTCCTGGCTATTCCACACACAGCCTAAACCTAGAATTCAGAACCTAAAAAGGTTAGTCAGGAATAGAAAAGGGCCAACTCTAAAAATCTAATCATAAAATATACAAAAATATATGTGTGTGTTTATTCAACATAAATTGTTCCAAAGTTTAACCACTGGGCAAGGAAAAGAAATACAGAAATACAAATGAAGCCTCCAGTGAAATCACATGTCCAGTGGTACTTCTGGTCAACTGTATATTCATCTAAGGTTGTACAGCCAAATGTTCCAAAGGTTCCTTAGGTTAAAAGCACTGGACATGTGATTTCACTGGAGGCTTCATTTGTATTTCTGTATTTCTTTTCCTTGCCCAGTGGTTAAACTTTGGAACAATTGATTTCTGGTCTTTATTCCATATTTTGTATATGTAGAATTGTATGTATTTTTGCACATCAGCCAATATGTTCTGTATGTATTAGACCTCTGAGGAAGGCCTGTAAAGGCCGAAACGCGTTAGGTCTATCTTATTAGGTCTATCTTATTAGCCCTTGTATGTTTTTATAGTTTTATATGAGGTATGAGTGGGCCCTTGTTTGTTATTTTAATTTATGTTGAATAAACACATATATATTTTTGTATATTTTATGATTAGATTTTTAGAGTTGGCCCTTTTCTATTCCTTACTAACCTTTTTAGGTTCTGAATTCTAGGTTTAGGTTGTTTTTTTCCCTTTTTTCTTCTTTGTCCTTTTTGATTATTCCACACACAGCACCATACGATAATTTCAATTTATTTCGAGGAGGGGGTAGTATAGACCGTGACGGAACGGGCCTGCTCTGACTTACAGACCCTGGTCTGCCGTCCCCCCGCCTCGGCTCGCGCCAGATCCAGGAGGGTGCTATTCCACTTCCTTCCACTAGGGGTCACTGCCACCACTGTCCTGCTGGGGTCTTCCTGCCAGGAGGGACAGACTCCTGACATCCCTTCCCAAACTGAGGCCCTGCCTCTGGTCTCCGGCCACCCAGCGCTTGGTTACCACGGGGACCCAGTTCCTTTGGGGGGGAGCTGGATGATTGGCAGCGGGCGCCCTGACTGCTTGCCTTCCCCCTGACTTGTTTGCCTTCCCCCTTCCTGGGACTCCCCTCAGTGGTGGCAGCATACCCTAGTGGAAGGAAGTGGAATAGCACCCTCCAGGAATTGGTGCAAGCACGACAGGGTCTGTAAGTCAGAGCAGACCCGTTCCGTCACACAGGCAGTTGGAAATGTGTGCCGCCTATTAACAGCAACGTTGGCTTCATTGGGCTGGTTTCTCCAATTCGCTGCTGTCCCGGAAGGCAGTGTAACCTTGCCCAGTGGTGTCCCAAAAAGGAGTGTTGGTGGAGGCCACCTGTGCGAGCTCAGCTGGTACCATGGTTACCTACTCAACAGAAGCTGGAAACACAGTCCGGAATCAGGTAAAACAACAAAGCCAGAGGTCAGATAGCCTGGGAAATCAATCCAAGGTTGCAGGAGTCAGGAACAAGGGGTGGTTGCTACACACCAGAGCAGACCTGAGTACGCAGAGTTGCTACCATGCTGGAGCATGTGCACTGAGTGCTTTTGAGCAGGTCCTCCCTTCCCTGGGAGTTGAGTCTGGCAAGGCTTGCAGCTCCTCCCATTGTCTTTGCAAGAGCTGCAGTCTGGCACCCCTACGAGCTCCAATTCAACAGCCACAGTGTGCTGTTTTGGCTAGTTGCCACAGAGACTACACATTGGAAACATGGTCTGGGAATCAAGGTACACCACAGAGCCAAAGGTCGGATAGCCGGGAAGTCAATTCAAGGTTACAGGTTTCAAGGACAAGGAGCGGCTGCTACACACAAGAGAAGCAGATCTGGGGATGCAGAGTTTCTGTCGCGCTGGAGCAGGTTCACGGAGTGCTTTTGAGCAGGTCCTCCCTTCCCTGGAAGTCGAGCCTGCCAAGGCTTGCAGCTCCTCCCGTTGCCTTTGCAGGAGCTGCACTCCTTCTTCGCTCCTGCATAGTCAGCCTCTGATGTGCCCTACATCTGGGGCACTCAGGAGAACTGGGCGTGGAGTCTGGCCTCGGGGTGTCTGCAACTGGGGGCGCTGGGACAGACACAGTATCGGCCTCTCCTTCTGGCTGCACCTCCTGTGCAGCTGCTGGGGACTCTTCCTCCTCAGGTGCTGTTGGGGGTTCCTCTTCTGGGCTGACTCCATGCCTCTTCCTCATCCAAGGAGTAGACAGCCTCTGTGGAGCCAGTACCCACGATGCCACCGCTGCATGCCACCAGCTTCCCCACTGCACTGCCCTGTACCCAGCATTCCCCAACTCCTCCTCTTCAAGATGCCATTTGTTTTTACCTGCTCCCTCCCTGCCCTAAGTAACCTTTCACCCTCTCTCATTCTTCCCAGCGTCTCCTGCCGCCCCACCAAAGACGCCCCCCTCCAAGAAGTCCCCCCAAGCGCAGCCTCCGGAGGGCTCGTCCGAAGGGCCCTTCCAGCATCTCCTCCAGGGCACTGTGTTCGTGCTGAGCGGCTTCCAGAACCCCTTCCGCTCGGAGCTGCGGGACAAAGCCCTGGAAATGGGGGCCAAGTACCGGCCGGACTGGAGCCCCGACAGCACCCACCTCATGTAAGCGCCCTGAAAAGCCCCGCCTCTCCCCGCCCCGGCGATGGCGAGAAGGCCATCCGACAGCAGTGCTGATTCTGTGAACTTAGGCAGATCGGTTTGGTGTTGGAGAGCCGGTTTGGTGTGGCGGTTAGGAGCGCGGACTCTAATCTGGGAGAACCGGGTTTGATTCCCCACGCCTCCACATGCAGCCGCTGGTGTGACCTTGGGTCAGTCACAAGTTAGTTCAGAGCTGTTCTCTCAGGAGCAGTCCTCGAAAGAGCTCTCTCAGCCCCGCCTACCTCACAGGTAGTCTGTTGTGGGGAGGGGAAGGGAAAGGAGATTGTAAGCCGCTCTGAGACTCCTTCAGGTAGTGAAGGGCGGGGTATAAATCCAATTTCTTCTCTTCTTATTCATCATGAGAGGGAGGGTTGCATCAGTGCTTCGTTCTCGTGGCCCTTTCTTACATGACCAGGGAAATGTCGATTGCCACTTTCGGGTCAGGAAGCAATTTCTCTCCAGGCCAGTTTGGCCGGGGATCCTGGAGGTTTTCTGTCCTCTTCTGGGCATGGAGCAGGGGTCACTGGGGGTGTGGAGAGGGAGGTATTTGTGAATTTCCTGCATCGTGCAGGGGGGCTGGACTAGATGCCCCTGGAGGTCCCTTTCAACTCGGTGTTTCTATGAACGCTTGGCTTTCTCCCACTGCAAGCCCCATGGCCCTAGGCCAGGCTGATCAAAGGACTTTGTATTCCGCCACTACCTCCGGCCAAGATTCGCTTCCAAAATGGCTCAAAGCCCCATACGACTGACAGATAAGATTTCATACAAATGTTCCTGGCCGGGGGTGTGTGTGTGTCTCAGCTGGGCTGGATCCAGACGCAACCGAGCCGTGCCCGTCCGTTTCCCGCCTCTCCCACGGAGACGTTCAAATGTGCTTTGTCCGGCTCGCTACTCACCCGAAACACGACCAGACTCAAAGCCCCCAGTCCCAGAAGCAGATAGGAACGGCATTCAGCCGCTTCCAGCCAAACAGGCAGGCTTTTGCCAAGTGTCCAGGGTGAAAGGCGAGGAAGAGAGAGGACGGTCGGCTGACTAGAGTCAGTGGCTGAGACACAGCCCGGTCCTGTGTGTGTTCACTTAGAAGCCATAGAACAAAGTCTGAGTCCGGGGGCACCTTTAAGACCAACAAAGTTTTAATTCTAGGTATAAGCTTTCCTGTGCGTGCTAACTTCGTCAGGTATCTGCACGCACACGGAAGCTCATACCCAGAAATAAAGTTGGTTGGTCTTAAAGGTGCCACTGGACTCTTAACACTTTGCTTCGGACCGACACAGTTTGCCCACTCGGATCTACTCAGAAGTAAGTCTCATAAAGCACACTGGTATTGGCTTTAAGGGTGTTTCGACATGTACTGGTTTTTAAAGGTCCCCCCCCCCCCCTCGTAAGAGTGGCCATCTGCCATCTGAAATTAGTTGATCTTTTTTTAAAAACCTGGGAATTTTTATTTTTTAATCAGTAATAAAATCCAAAACGTGAACCTAGAAAAAGAACATTGACATAAGTCATGGTAACGAATCAGTGCTCCCTCTAAGCCGTGGAGTCTTGTCAGCAAAAATTCTACTTTGTGAGCCACTGGCATTAAAGTTGTGAGCAGGTGATTTGGCTCCGGCATAAATTAGTTTGCTCTGGAGCCCATCCTTCCTGAGCTAAGGCAAAAACGTGTGAGCCGGAGGCTAAAAAACTGTGAGCTAGCTCACACTCACTCAGCTTAGAGGGAACACTGGTAACAATATTAACAAGTATATTCAGTGTAAAAACATACAGAATATATGGCTTTAGCTCACCAGGAAACACCAGTTGTGTAGAGTAAATACAATAGTATCTGTACGGGTAGAAGAAGTGAAGAGATTGGATTTATACCCCGCCCTTCACTTGGAGCCTCAGAGCGGCTTACAAACTCCTCTCCCTTCCCCTCCCCAC